AGGAGCTGAAGTAAATCAACTCAAAATATCCAATAAAAGCAGTAAAAAAAACCCTTAATTGTGGTAATTGAGTTTAATGATGTTAAATGGCAAAGCTCATCACCAAAAGAAAATAAAAAAAATCACAACTGAAATATTCTCCCACGGGGTTATTTAGAACAGGTTTCACTCCACTTGGACAACAGGAACAGGATTCACAATCTGCTTAGTAAAGAGAAATCTGTGTGGAGCAGGAGGGCTGAGGAAGCACATCCACAATTATAGCAGTTATGGCACAAGTGTGTGCACTAATACCTCAGTTTCCTTCTCTCAAACATTTGTGCTCCTAAATTTGAAACCAAGATTTGCCCATTGCCCTGACCAAGAATAAACCCGTGCAAGGCTCGGGCCTGGCACTGAGCCCACACTCTGTCCCTGGCAAACCCAGCACAACTGGGCACACGGGGTGTCCCATCCCCTCCTCCTGCCACCAGCAACACAACTTGGGGCACACAGGTGGGCTCCCAACAGTCCCCCCTCAGCAATTTGGGGACTGCAGCGTGGCCATGCCAAGCTCCAAGGGCCAGGGTAGGAGGTTCCATCACCAGCTGCCTGGTCCCAGAGGGGACACCCCCTCCAGGAGGCATTAACACTCACCCAGTGAAGGGCAGGGGTCAAACAGAGCCCCCAGCTTGTCCCAAAGGCACCCTCAGCAGGATTTTCCTGCAATCCTTAAAAGCACATTCCCTCTTGCCTGTAAGCAAGGCACAGGAGCCACTGGTGTTGGGGCCAGCCCTGGCCAGGGATCCCAACGCAGAGGCCAAAAAATCCCCAAACCCTGCAGAGCCAGCCAAGAAACTGGGGTTTATTCCAGCTCAGCCAGAGCCTCACAACCTCAAATTCTTCCCAGGGTCAGGAAAAAAAAAAAAAATCAGCCTCAAAATTCTGTGGCATGGCAAGTCAACCCCTTTTCAGAGCACAAAGCAGATGGAGAGAGGATTATTTTCCCTGCACAGCTTCCCTAGAGCTGGGAATTTGCTGGTGCCCATCAGCACCTTGCACTGTACCCCTGTGAGAGGCAGAAATTGCTGGGCAAGACCAGCTGGCCACAGTCCACTGCTCTCAAAACTAGAAGTATCACACCTAAGCAGGTTAAGGAAGAAAATATAAGAGCTTTACTCATTTTTCAAATCATGGTAGGGACAGAATTACATCTCCTTGAGGGTTTCACAAGCAGAAACTACCCAACAATTGTTTGGAATTGGAAAAAACAGGTATAATCCTAAAGGAAAGAAGTCACTGAGAGAAGATTCAGAAGCCTGTAGATAACATGGTACACTGGATATTGCTGCCCTGACTCGGTGTTTATGTTTGCCTGGATACACAATCAACTTTAGTATCTTGAAAACTGCAGTAACAATTAAAAAAAAACCCAAACATTTAATAATAGGTGTTTTTCTCAGAAGTGGGGTGGAACCTCTGAAGCCAAAGGCAGAAGGATGGGGGATCACCTGTCCTGGGAATAATATGCTGGGAGTTATGGATCAAGATCAGCCCAGTGACAGAGTTAAAAATCGGGGTGTACCACAGAGAAACTCCTGCTTGTCCTCCAGTGCTCTTCACACCCACCACCCACAGGCTTACAAACAACCATAAAGGTTAAATCTGGGGGTCTGGGGGCTCTTAGGACAGTACTCACAATCACATCAAGGCCAGGCACACCGTATGAAGTTATAACACAGTAAAATAAACCCAAGGCTGGAGCTGAATCACGGAACTGGTACCAGCCGTGGAGCAAATTCCTGCCACCAGGAGCAGCTGTTGTTACCCTGCCAAAACTTTGAAACGTTCTACACATTTCAGACCCCAAACCAAGGTGGACTATACTTAGTTTTACATGGTAGACACCCTTATAACTATAAATATGTATCACCATTCTCCTGCTTTTACTAACAATGGCATTTTTCAAGCCAGTTGCAACTTGTGTCAGTAACCACATGAATTAAACACCACATACTTAATTCTTTACTAACCTTTCTTTCAACAATGCAGCAACAGCTATAACTGTAGCAAGTGCTGATGAGATTTATAACTGGGTCCTGACTATAAATCATATTTTCTTAATCAGCCTTAGAAAATTTTTATTGCTGTTTCCATCCTTCATTTTATATGTACTATCTCCTCGGATCAGGAGGACCTATATCAAGGTGTAACTCTTACTACATACCCCAAAAAATAGCACAGATGTTTTCCTAAGCAAAGATAAGAGATTAATGTAGGCATTTAGGGATTCCAAGGAGTCAGCTTGAAGAAATAAGTTTATTTTGAGCCTATTGTATTTGTGTTCATGGCAAAATTTGAAAGATCCATGCTAGACCCAGCCCTGCTGAAACCAGTGATATTTGTCCAGAGGATGGAGCCAACACGCTGGAAATGGATCAAGGACATGGCACGGGATGACAAACTGCTCCATCATTAGCTCTTAATTTAAGCTTAACCCTCCTTTTTAAGGAGAGTGGGTGAGAACAGCAAACAAACCCCATATCCATCACCACATCCACACAGTTCCCAACTCCTATTTATAGTTTTGCTTCGAAATTAAAGGGAAAAATGCAAAGCATGATGCCAGAGGGGAGAGAGAGGGAACAGCTCCGGCCTGTGGCTGCTGCTTTATTTCCAGAGTGCTGTCCACCACGCTCAGCACTGCTGCAAGCTCAGCCTGTGCCAACACCCAGCTCCTAACAAAGCTGCAAACACTTCCCCTGGAGTTTCCTAGAGAGCAAAAACGAACAGGTTTCCATGGCTAAGATGCTTTAATTATCGACAAGTTCGGGCAGGCCAGCAGCTCCTGTCTTTTTTCTGACTGTTCCATGACATCCTCCTGTCCTTCTCCACCACCTGGACCTTTCTGCGTGGCAGCACCAGCACCCTGGAGGCTCCCAGGGCTCTGCTCCTCCTTAGAGAGGCTCTGTGAGTCACTGCCTTGCTTTGCTTCTCTTACTCCAAAATGCTTTTTTAAAAATTAACACACTAAGTTAAAAGAAAGCACACCCAGCACGAAAACCCAAGGAACTGTTTAATAGCTATTTTAATCTAAACAATTGCAAGGAGCTTTTCAACAAAGGATTTGAACAGTTCCAGATTCACCTTTTCTGACTGATTTTGTGCCGCCACCTGACACACCCCAGATCAATCACACTCCAGTAATTCAGGGCCTTGGGTCATTTCAGACCTTGTATTCCTTGGAATGTAACACAATTCCCATCTTAACCATTTAAAAATCAGACCTTTGGCTCTTCACAACCAACGAAGATCTGCGTGGCCTCCCAGGAGGAGCCCTGAGCAGTGCTCAGCCCTCAAAAGGGATATGGGGAGAGCTTGCCAGAACACAAATCATTTTAACTCAAAATCCCCCAAACTGAGCTGACAAAGCAAGCACACACACCTGGAGAGTTTGTGCTGCACACATCATGTTCACTCACATTTCTTTTTACACTGACTGAAAATACAGGTCAAAGTGGTGCTAATTCAGCTTTGGGAACAGGTATCTAAGCTATCCCACACAAGCAGAGTGCTTTTGAATTTAGTTTTGCTCAACTCTTGTGAAGAACACAGCATTCAATGCTCAGAGTCCACAAAAATGCCTAAAAAGGCTTAAAAATCACACCTTTAGGTCCTCCTTTTTAAACCAGAAACTCAGTGTCTCTTCAGCCCCCTTCACTCCCATTGCACACACAAAGGGAAGAACACTATCTCTTATAAATACTGTAAAAATTACCATTTCTCTTGTAAATTCCTTATAATTTACGATTTCTGTCGATTTTTCTCTTCACATCAAAGAAAATACTTCCTGTGCCAACTCACTCATCCCTGCAAACTCAAACCTGCCCACGTTTCATTTGACCACCCCGAAGAGTCAGGTGGGGGATTTGCCTCAGAGAGGTATGAACTAATACGGGATGAAAAACAAGCTGCTGTTTTCTACCATTCCCTCGATATTCGGGCTATTTTCAGAAGTTTCCGGGCGAGCCGTGGAGGAGTTGTGCGGGCAGAAGCTGCACCCTGCAGGCACCAGCAGCAAACAGGCGGCAGCAGCACATCCCTTGCTCAGCCGAGCAGTGCCCCCGTATGGCAGGAGGTTGAATATTGCTCTAATAAAAGATTTTTCCCCCCCCTCAATATTGTTTCTCCAACGCCCCCGGGGCTGCTGCCTCAGCTCAAGGGAACCCCTGACACACGTTCTTTTACACCTCGTGGTACTTGCCCAGCTTTTACAAGTTACCACGGTTATAAATCTCCCCCCAGTTCAGGGTTTTCCAACCCAAATGCCTTCATTTATGGCAAAAAACGAGCAACAAGTGCTTCAGGTCCATCTCCTAATTCCTTCCCTCTGTCAAACCTCAGGAGCATCCCCCTGCCTCGCACACCTCAGCCCCAGCTCAACACCCCCTGCCAGAGCATATTTACCACCTCAAAAAAGCACCTTTGCTCCAAAGGCACCGTGCAAATACTTAAAAAGACGTATTTGCAGAATCTCAAATGCTACAGCAAGCAGGCCTGTGTATTCAGGAGGTAAGAGGATACAAACAGAGTCCCCCATGTGGCATCATCACCTGCCCCACTGACCCGAAATATTCCTGTTTCCTGGGGAGCTGGGGACAGAGAAAGCAGCTCAATAAAAAAGTGGTATAAAATACAAAGGTAACTCCTTCAAGAGGAAGAGCTTGTTAAAGGGAATAATCCTCCTTTAAGCAGATGGAAATGCAATCTTAAATAATACAATCTTGTAGCACATGTACACATAATGATATCAGAAGAACCCAGACTTCATTTCAGAAGATCCTAGACTTAAGGCATCAGGGGAAGTGAACTGAGGTTGTTTCAACTGCCAAAAAACCCAAATCCACAGCTCCCAGAAACCATTACAGTTCTAATTCGATATTTGACCAAGGACATTGCAATTAAACAACAACAACAAAAAAAAGGATCACAGACCAAAGTATTTTCTTTATTATTCTGCTCCTGTTGTTTTCTGTTGTAACTGCAAAAAAAAAATAGCAACTGCTTTCCTGAAGTTCTTCACTAATTTCAGATTTCACAGCAATAAAAAACATAATTCAAATGGCTTAGAAGTTCACCCCTCAAAAGAGAAAAGTATGAGCATGACATACAGGCTGCATATACACAAACATTTTAATTACTATCATACCCAAATAATTCTCCTGGAAAATAAAAATCTCCTCTGACAATTGTTCAATCCTCTGTCCTACTTGCACCTACCTCTCGTGCTGGAGTCCATCTTCCACTCCCAGGAAACACAGAGTGCTGGGACATCAGGGAGCAGAGCAGCACAGAGCCCTCAGGAAACCAGGAGAAAGAGGAAAGAGGGCTGCTGCTGCCCTAAAATAGGCTGAGAGACACAGGTGCCCCACCAAGATCATCACATGGGACCAGCTGGGTGGTTTGTTTGATGTCATCAGCCCATCTCCTTATTCCTCCTGGAAAATCCCTCCTCCAAATCAAAGATTACACCCACCTTGATCCCCAAGCTCATCCAAACGAGTTTCCTGAAGAACAGTGAGCCATACTCGGGTTATGGCAGCTCAGGACATCCAGCAGCATCTGAAAGCCATCACAAGACGTATGGCAGGGAATGACATTAAAGTAGGGCTAAACATGGCAAGAATAGGGGGAGAAAACCAAGTAAAACATACAAGGATTTGGTTTAAAATCATGCTATTTTAATGTACACTCCTAAGGCTTCTTTAGAAAATTAGGAGAGATTATATATCCTGCTAAAATAGGTTTATCAGTTCAAAGAAACCGTCCTACCTGGCCATGGTGGTGTGGCTGGAGCACTGCTGGGGAGCTTTCCTGGGACAGTCACAGGTACAATTTCTCATCAGCATTGTCCTTGTCTGCAGTGATGGGAAAGAAATCACTGTCAGGCTGGAGGTTTTTTATTTTATTTTGAGGTAAGTGCCCTCCTGAGTTGCTTTCCTAGAGCCAGGTTTGTGTAACGGGTTGCCCTTTAAAAAAAACGTAACAGATAAAATAATGAGTTCATGTAACTTCACGACAAAACTATGCAAAGAGCTCAATTTAATCTTCTGTATAAAGAGCCATATGAATTTAAGACTTGGAGGGATCAGAGCCATAAGAAGGCATCCAGTGGAAGGGTGTTTGCAAAATGGTCACTGTCCCTAGTTATGAAAGTTGGCTCTATGTTAATCATTCCTTCAAATACCCACACTTTTTTGTTTTACAAGTGTCTGGAGCACTTTAAATGAGACATTTATTGAGCTGCAGGGTGGGGAGTGGATGAGGATGGACAGAACTGGGTGATAAACTACAGATGTACCCCGGCCAGAATAAATAAATCACTTGGGACTAAGTGGATCACAACTGATTCCCTCATGGAACTTGGAAAACTTTAATGCAGTTGAGGTTTCTGGTGCACCAGTAAACCCAGTGAGCTGCAGAGGATGGGGCAAGAACATACTGGCCAAAAGGAAAAAACACCTATTTTTATTAACAACCACAGGGTAAATATCAGTAAAACTCATACAGCATGAAATGATGGAATAATGTAATGTACAGATATTAAACATGTTTATTTCAGTGTGGCAGAGGCTGCTAGAAAGGCTCAAAAACTTACTGCTGGTCTCCTGTGAGCTTTCATAATAATCTAAAGCAAATTAAAATCAAGTTGATGCATTTACTCAATGCTTATACATCCACACCCAAGCTTTGGGTGCTTCCAAGGGCAGAAGGAACCTGGTGAAGTCAGTGTTTTCCTCAACTGCTCCTCAGAGCAAATGTCTCCAGGAGAAATTCACGGGCTTTGTGTGACGTGGGAGACTTTAAAATGGTTCTAGCAGGGCTTTCTGAGAAGAAATCTGCATTTATACATTATTATGGAGGTTAAGTTACCAAATACAGTAAATAAATCCCTACTCTGAAATCTCATTTTACAAGGAAAAAAAAAAAAAGACATACTGAGGATGGACTTTAAAAGTTCTTGGCAGGCTCAAGATTTTTATGTTAAATCACTGCAGGTGCTTCCATTGGGCTGGACTCATTTGTGGTTTGCTTTGGGTCTGTTGTTTGAATTTCCAGCTGATTCCTCTTGCTTCCAAATGGAAAAGCTTGGCCAGATAAGTACAAATCCCTAATCAGTGGAAACAGAACATATGCTGTAGGTGTCCTTCTGAATGGGACAAGAAACAGGATAATATATATATCATTAAATGGAATGTGGATCTAGGAAGGGGAAAATACCAGAGGAAAAATTTAATGAAGAGGGAAATAAGATGCAACTCTTTCTTAATAAATCAATCATAATTTTGCTGTTTCTATTCGGTTAAGCATTAGTTTTATTTGCTGTCTCTTACCTTATCCTGCTCCTGTTACAATGGTGTGGTCACAAGTTGTGAGTCCATGACAGTGATGGAACGTTCACTTCTCACTGTGGTGGGTGTGGAAAAAGCTACTTAATCGTTCTGTTTTAAGTCAAAAGATCTATTTTCAATGTTTACTGTTGTCTGTGAACAATTTAACCCTTTTAAGGGTTCATGTTCAAATAAAAAAAATACAAAGGTTAATCATTATTTTTAAAAGCATAATCTGAAAAATATTTTATGTTGTTCTGGATTTTTTTTAAAATTTTTTTTTATAACCAGACATCATCTCAGCTATAGAATTCCAAGGTCAGAATACAAGTTCTGGCTGTGTAGAACTGCTGATGACATTCTGTCCCCCTCACTTCTGTCACTTTTACATATAAATTATTGAGACAAAGTGCCAGTATCATTTGCCATGAGCTAGAGAAGAGCAATTTTAATGAGTAATAATGACATAAAAACTTTCCAATCAATCATCTGTTTGTCAGCAGTAAAGTGAATGTGAATTTGGGAAAACTCTGGGAACATTCTTGCTTTGCCACTCAATATATTTTCGTACCCAATAAAACTGTACCAATGAATTCTGAATGTGGACAAAGTTAACAGCCCTTATGCCCAAGCCAAATCCCAAGTTTCTGATTGTTTTATCTCTCTCTTTTGTGTCCTGCCAAAAAGATAAGAAACATGTTGGCACAAAAGAAAAATTATTGCTTGGACTGTTCTACCAGCCAGCGAATCTTTTTCCTATAAATGCAACTTTAACAGAAAAATTCAGTTAAGTAAATAGAAAAGATAAGTGAGACAAGAAGCAATATCAAAATAGCATTTGAAATAAAAGAGTAGTAAGTAATTAAGGGGTTTTTTTATTAAATATTTGTCAAAATTTAAATCTTTAACTCCAGATGGCAGATGACTTTAAAGTGATGTGTGACAATTAACGTTAATTTAATCCCACATGGATCTATCTTACTGTTGCTGTGATCAGATCTCCACATAAATAACATAAATAATGCTAATTAATAATTTATTTTGCATTCCACTGAGGAATAATTAATGAAAGAACAAAGCTATTGTCTCCTGAGTGACATTCTGGTGCTCTCTGAGCACGTAACAGCACAAGTCCGTGATGAGGGATGTCAAATGTCTTAGCCCTCCTTGTGCACTTAGGAAAATACTTTGGTGTTCCTGTTTTAAAAATTCCTGTTCTTGCCTTACCGAGGAGGAAAGTGAGGAATGGTCTGATGGAGGAGCCTCTTCAGCTGCTGGACAGGAGCCTGATCTTGGATTTGGCATCTTTGGATGCTGTTGCCACACTCCCATTTCCAGACTGTGCTCTGGGATCTATAACTAATACAACTGTAAGGTTAGTCACTTGAAGAATTCAGAGGGGTTAATCACAATTCTTTATTTTGAAGTGTATGGGGGTTTTTTTGGTTTTTTGAGGGTTTTTTTTGTGTGTGTGTGGTGAGGATTTGTGGTTTTTTTGGTGTTTTGGGTTTGTTTTTTTTTTTGGTTGGTTGGGTTGGAGTTTTTTGGTGTTTTTTTTTTTTTTTTTTTGTGAGTGAATTACAGCTCTGAACACAACAGGCACAGAAAAAGGTCTTTGGGGCAAAGGAATTTCAAAGACATGTATTTTTCCCCTCAGGAAGGGCCGCGAATTTTTGGCGGTAACGCTGACTACTCTCCCCGACGCCATCTTGGCTCCTGAGGTGCCATTGGCGGGAAAAGGCGGCACTCGGTGCAGGTGTCCTTTGTCTCGCTCCGAGCCCCGTTTGGGCAGGTTTTCCCCCAGATTTCATCCCGAACTGTCTCCAAAGCCGCCTCAGGCGCCAGCTTGAACCTTTTCCTGACACTTTTTACCTCAGAATTCAAGGGTTGTCGAGGGTTGCGATATTCCCGCCTTCGCGCGCTCTGCGCCGCCTGACCCCCCTCACCCGCCGTAGCGCCCGTACGGAACGGAAAGTGGCGCGGGAGCGGCAGAGCCAATGGGTTCCGATCTTACTGCGCGGGGCCGTTGCCAGCAGCCAATCGCGTGGCCGCCCCTTCCAGCCGCGGGCGCAATGGCGGCCGCCACGAGCTGCGGCCGCGCCGCGCTGGGCGCGCTGGGCCGCGATGGCGGCGGGGCCGCGGCGCGATGGCGAAGGGTCCTGCCTGCCCTGCCCGCGGGCGGCTCCGCGCTGCGGCTGCCGCTACTCCCGGGCCGCTCCGCGCTGCGCTGGGTGCCCGCCCGAAATGCCGCGGCGGGGCCCGGGCAGTGCCAGGCCGTGACGGTGGAGGTGGGCGGCAGGTGAGGGGCGCTGAGGGGAGGGGGCGGTGCAGGGGCTGTCCCGGGGGGAGAGAAGGCAAACGTGAGGGGAAACGGGTGCGAAATGCGGAGTATGTCGAGATTAGCTTAGCTAGGGATGTTCTTTGATGGCGATCTTTGCTGATAGGCTCGAAAACACACAGAGAATGAGCCTCAGTGGGTGGAATCATCCTGGCCATCCCTTAGGGACATCCGGGAATAACGAGCCCTAAGGATGCAGTGAATCGAGATGCTGATGGGTGTCTGTGGGTGCCTTGCCACCTTGGCAAAATAACTCAAGGTCCACTTATTAGGTTGGACTGAGTGATCTCAGAGGTGTTTTCCATCCTGATTGACTCTGTGATCCTGTGAGCTCATCCTGGGGGACGAGAGGCTGGGCAGGACCCGGCAGTGTGCCCTGGCAGCCCAGAAAACCAATCCTGGGCTGATCCCACAGCGGGGGCAGCGGGGCAGGGAGGGATTCTGCCCCTCCGACCCCTCAGGCGAGACTCCCCCCTCCTTGCAGAGCTGCTTCCAGCCCTGGGGAACAGCACAGGAAGGACATGGAGCTGCTGGAGAGAGTCCAGAGGAGGCACTAAGATGATCAGAGGGATGGAGCAGCTCTGCTGGGAGAGCTGGGATTGTTCAGCCTGGAGAGGATAAGCTTTGGGGTGACCTAATTGTGGCTTTTCAGTGCCTGGAGGGAGCCTGCAGGAAACATGGAGAGAGGCTGCTGTGGTGGGAAACAGTGCTCTGTGGATTTGCAGACAGCTCCACTGTGCCTGTGAGGGTGTTTCCCACTGGCTGAATCCCACCTGGAACGGTGGTGATTCACTTCTGTCTCCAGGGAATGGCTGGAACTCCAGGTGGCACCCGATGTGGCTGCAAGGCTTTGCTTCAAGGTGAAAGGAGCAGGACACTTGAGGCAAAAGCTCGTTCAAGTTAAGAGGATTTGGTCACTTTTGGCCAAAGAGTTTCGATTTCTGTACCTGAGGTGGATGTTTGTCTTGTGTGAAGTGTAACCTTTGTTCTGTGCAGTTGGGGCTGGAGATTAAAGCAGAATTGCTGGAAAATTTGGTTGAATTCACCATGAGTAACAAATTATGTCTTTCCTTCAGAAAGATGGAGCTGTCTTCTGGAAAACTTGCCAAGTTTGCTGATGGTTGTGCTGTTGTTCAGGTAAAAAAAAAATAAGTAGTGAAAAGTCGTGCAACTTCAAAATTTCTGCATCTTACAAGTCATTGTTAGGGTATCAGAGCCTGTTAGATGTGGGATACAGAGACTCAAGGAGCAACTTAATCCCTAATGAAAAGACAGTTGTGTTCTATAGGAAAAAATTATGTTTGAAAAGCAAAAATATTGGCGTGAAGGGTGGATTTATGGGGTTGTGTCCTGCAAAGAATAATTGTTTTTCGTAATTTAGTTTGTGAATAAGTTTAGAACATCAGGGGTCATTTTATTTGCAGGTAACTTCAGGTCTTTTATCTTTTTTTTTTTTTCTTCAACCCAGCTGGGTGACACAGCAGTGATGGTCACAGCAGTCAGCAAAACCAAGCCTGCTCCATCTCAGTTTATGCCATTAGTGGTAAGTACTTACCAAAACATTAGGTTTGTGATCATTTGTGGAAGATTTAGCAGCAGAATCCTTAAATGGAGGAGTTCAGGGCGCTGGGGGGAGTGAGGAATGCACTGCAATGGCAGACCCTGGAGTTCATGGTAAAATGTCTGGATGTGTAGGATCATTCTCTGTGGATGGGGGATGAGCCCTGGAGCTTGTGTGCCTTGACCTTGTGACCTTTGCCACGACATCCAAGCCCAGATATTCTGTTTTAGTTGGTTTAGGAGGCTCAAAAGGCTTGTGATTATTAAGGAGTGGAACTACGGGGTTGGGGTTGGAACTGGATCATCCTTAAGGTTCTTTCCAGCCCAAGCCATTCTGTAATTCCATGATTGATATTCCACCTTCAGGGAGGGAACAGTGAGTCCCCCAGGGATCTACCCTGGAACAGAGCCTGTTTCATACATGTCACCTGAATTCTGGGTCGACTTTGCTCTGAGCAAGGGATGGGATTATAAAATATATATAAAATATAATTGTGTTATAAATTATATATAAGGTGTCTCTTCTGAGTGCTTGGGTGGCTCTGCAGTGAGTATCAGTTGTCTGTAGGGATGTGTTTTGTTTTTCCAAGGTTGACTATCGACAGAAAGCTGCTGCAGCAGGAAGGATCCCTACAAACTACCTGAGAAGAGAGCTTGGCTCCACAGATAAAGAAATTCTTACAAGCAGAGTCATAGGTAGGCTGAAACCTTTCAGTCACAATGTATTTTAAATATTTTGAGATGTTCTCATGAGTGTTTGGAAATGCAGTCGTTTAGAACTGCTGTTTGCAGGGTTGGTTTTCTGTGGTAATGTCAGGAAATAAAGCTGTAGTTGCTTGTTTATGAGTCTTCATTGGAATTTTAGGGTTGTATACATCATGCTAAATTTCTTTCTGGGTTCTCTGCCTTTTTTTTTTTGGGTGTTTCATTTAAATAATTTGATCAGGTTATTGCAAGACAAATTGAATATTAACTACTGGAAACCAGCTGCTTCTTAGCCTTTGGTTATTTCTTCTGCAGATCGGTCAATCAGACCTCTCTTCCCAGGAGGATACTTTTATGATACACAGGTGGGTCATGTTACCTCCAAAATGGAGAGCTGGGGCATGGGCAATGAAAATTTCACATGACACAGGCACTGCTTTAAGAAAAATGATTTTGAGTAATATCCAGGAAGGGTTTACACTTGGCAAACCATTCTAATAGTGTAATGCTGCTTTTTTACTTTGTCATTAAAGGATTTTTGTTACATCCTATTTTCCAAATTTTGTTGTCCAGATAGAAGAAAACAATTGAAATCTCCTCTGTAAAACAGAGGCAAGGAAGGCCAGTGGTAGATGTTTTATATATGGCACAATATTATACATTAGTGGGGGTTTTGTCAGCTTTCTGCTTTAAATACCTGCACAAATTTCCATCTGCAGTCTGGGCTTGTGTGGATATGTGCAATGTTCTGTTTTACTGTCCTTAGCTTTGTGTTGACAGCTCATAAAAAATGTGTAGGTCACAATTATTCATTGTCTTTTATCTTATGCCAGATCCTTTGTAATCTTTTAGCAGTAGATGGTGTCAATGATCCTGACATTCTGGCCATTAATGGAGGTAAGAGGGCTGGGAGGAATCACTGCTCGTGTGGGATTTCACGGGATCCACCTTTCCTAAGCCACATTTTTATGTCTCATTTTAGCTTCTGCAGCACTTGCACTGTCTGATATCCCCTGGAATGGTCCTATTGGTAAGTGAATACCTTGAAATTATGGATGATTTGAGTGTAATGAGAGACCTAGACCACAGTTCCTGCTTTAGTTTTTTTTAATGAGAAGCTGAATCTAAATGTTGAATTTCAAGCACTGAAAATAATTTTACAATGGATAGGATTATTGCACTTCAAAGGATTATTTTTCCTGGACTAAATAAATTTTTTGAAAGGTTTATAATGCAGAAATAGTGGAGTATAGAGACCAATAAATTATTTTTTTTCTTAATAGTAGCTTAGTCTTGAAAAGCATTGTTTTGAAAATAGCTGGATAAGAATACTTTTTCTCCAGGAACTCAAGAAGAGATTAGTTTAGTTATGCATATTTTTTGGGAAAAGAAATAACCCAACCAGGAACAAATATTTAGCTGTATTTTCCTGTCACCTGCCTTTTTTTTTTTTCTAGAAAACATGTGCTGAAATTACTAAAAAAACCCCAGTAGACTCACAGCATTGTGTGTATAATACTTGGCATTGTCTTCACCCAGAAATAGTACCCAAAAGTAATTCAAAACCAGATAATTTTGTCTTCCACAGTTGTTCTTAATATACACTCAACGTGCTGATATTTTAAAATTAACGTACAGCTTTAATTATTGTTGCTAGATCTATAAATTTCCAAGTAAGATGATGCCTCAAGGAACTTCCTTATTATAACCATAATTTCCTGGGTTTTTTCCTTGTAGGTGCAGTGAGGGTGGGGCTGGTGGATGGGGAGACTGTTATCAACCCCACTCGAAAGCAGATGGCTTCCAGTGCTCTGAATTTGGTCGTGGCTGGAGCTCCACAGAGTCAAGTTGGTAAGTGTTGGGTTCATTT